ATACACGGCACGTGAGCGCTCTGAAATAGTTGAAATTTACATTCAACAGAAGAAGTCAATTGTGAAAACTCAACGTGCTTTTAAAACATTAAAAAATGTGAGAAGTGCGCCTTCTAAGAACACCATTAAGCGTTTATACGAAAAATTTTCGACTGGTAAGGCTCTTTCTAATCCGAAGAGGCCATATAAAAGTCGACCAAGGCGATCGACCGAGAATATCGCCGAAGATGACGAGCGATTTTGGAACAAAATTATCATGTCCGATGAAGCCCATTTCACATTGAATGGGACCGTAAATAAGCAAAATTGCCGTTTTTACGCCACTGAAAATCCTCAGGAGATTCAAGAAGTGCCTCTTCATGACATAAAAGTCACAGTTTGGTGCGGCGTTAGTGCGAAAACGGTCATTGGGCCGTCATGGGTCCGTCGAATATGTACAATGAGCTGTCACTGGAATAATTTTAAGAGCTGTTGGAGGAGTGGCTTAGAAATGACAGCAGTCTGAAGTTGGTTGCAGATTTTTCATCTCACCCTGTATTAACTATCTTCTAGATCGATCTGGTTTTTTAACACTATATTGTTGAGATCACTAAGCACATGGTCGAGGTGTTCTGGCGTTCGAGTGAGCTGTTGTCGAACAACACCTTTCTTCACTAACTTGCCTCTCAATATCATAAGACAAATCCTCTAACATCTTGATCTTCCTGATTCTTTGTCACCATTTTCCTGCACCTCGACGTGCCCCTCTTGAAGACTATATACTCCCTCGGAATTTAAAAACAATACTGCTTAGACCAAAAAATAACCACTGTGACCACCAATGTTCAAGCGTTGACACCATAAAGACCATTTCATAAATACTTGGTTGGCAACCAGTCATCTTAAATGTCTGATGGTGACGATGAACATAAAGTCAAATAGTCAATTTTTGTTTCCACCCTCTAAACGTTTGCAGTTTTTTGTTTGCTTTTGCTACCACTTGTGGATCTACTATTTTTTCGTATTTTGAGGTCTGGTGGTGGTAAGAAAGCCAAATGGCATGAAGGAGGCGGAGACGTTATGACAGAGGAAATAACACAACATCAAACTGCATCATGCCAAAGCCAATAGAGCCCCTTCTCCGCTCACCGCCCACCCAAAGGAGGAGAGAGAAAAAAGTAGCATATTTTTCTGTTACACTTCAGCAAACATAAGTGCGGAATGCTGGTTTGCTTGTTTTTTTTTTTGCGGTAAACGAGTGACAAATTTCAACTTTGATGGCATTTAGAGGGTTAGGCAGCAAATTCAGGATAGCGCAAATATTTTTAAGGATTTATCAGGATATATTTAATAAATTATTTTATTTAAAAATTTTAATTCTTGGGCCATTTTGAAATTTCGTATTCTTATTATGGCTGGTATATGATTTTTTAAGGACGTTTAAGTTTATAACATATTTGAAGCATGATGTAATTAACGGTAGTTTTTTAGTAAACTTTCACCTTTCAGGTTAATTATATTCTCAGGCCCTTCAAAGGCTTATATCGCCTGGTCTCCTATGAGAAGACCTTCCAGTCTCCCAATGTATATTCCCTATGGGCATATATTATTGATTTTAAGGTCACATAAATTTAGGATTATTGAATCTAACCTCCCGAATTATTGTCCCAACTCCGTTCCATGTTGGTAACAAATTCATTGCTTGCTTGTGTATCAGGGCTGTTGCAAGAAATTTCACGAAGAGTAAAAATAATTTTTATGACACAGAGAGAGAGCGAGTTCATTTTCCAGCCACCATTGTTTGTCATGGTTGCCGTGGCCGTTGGTGTTGATTTTGCTACCGTTTTGATTTTGTGCAGCAGCAACAACAACCCAATCCCAGCAACTCAAACACACATTCATTCGAACATATTCTCTTGCTCTTTTCATTAAACTCTCACCCACTTAGACAGTCAACCAGCCAGTCACCCAGCCAACCAACAACAAACGATGACGACATGGTGAACGTCATCATCGCCATCATATTGTCGTTCACATCGTCATCGTCAAGTTTTACAATGACCACTTCCGTTGTAATGGTGTGAGACAAACAAAAAACAAGAGCCCGTGGTTCTCGGCATTCCCAACCCGAACACGAACACCACCCAACACCAAACCACATCCAACATTCTTTCATTTTGTAAGCACTGGTCAGCGGAAGGGGGAAGGTTTTTGTTGCGAACCACTTGTTTTGTTGCCTTCTGGAGATTTGCAACATTACCCCCGGCGGCAATTTCAACAGAGTTGCAGCAGCGACAGTAACGACCGCAACCCTCCGCCTCGCCTCCATGAAAATCCTTGCACGAGAAATGATTTGTAAACGAGCAAAACGCTGATGTTGGAATGAGTTCGTTCCCCATTTTGGGTAACAAAACTTTTTTCGTCGACGAAAAATAACAGACTAACATTGCTTTGCAGTGAATGCCAAATTTCTAAGATTTCCTTGTAGTCAGATGTCGTGGGTGCCGGTTTTAAATGTAGAGCGAAATGAGTGCACACACACACAAGCTCCCATACCATCATATAGGCTTAATTTCAGAAATGAAAAGCGGGTAATGTTTAAAATGCTGCTGTCATAATAATTGAACACGTTAGACATAAAAGCAAAACATATAACAACGTTGAGGCAAAACATTTATGAGCTCCCTAAGAAAAATCACCCAAGAAAGGTGCTAATTGAAGTTATAAAAAAAGTCTGCTCAGAGAGACGCAGAAAGTCTTCTCATAGAGGAGCTAAAGATCTTTAAACGAAGAGCTAAAGGTTTTCGCCCAGAAAAGCTAAAGGTCTTCTCCTAGAAGAGCTAAAGGTCTTTTCCTAGAAGAACTAAAGGTCTCCACCTAGAAGAGCTAAAGGTCTTCTCCTATAAGAGCTGAAGGTCTTCTCCTAGAAGAGCTGAAGGTCTTCTCCAAGAAGAGCTGAAGGTCTTCTCCTAGAAGAGATGAAGTTCTTCTCCTAAAAGAGCTGAAGGTCTTCTCCTAGAAGAGCTGAAGGTCTTCTCCTAAAAGAGCTGAAGGTCTTCTCCTAAAAGAGCTGAAGGTCTTCTCCCAGAAGAGATGAAGGTCTTCTCCCGGAAGAGCTGAAGGTCTTCTCACAGAAGAGCTGAAGGTCTTCTCACAGAAGAGCTGAAGGTCTTCTCACAGAAGAGCTGAAGGTCTTCTTACAGAAGAGCTGAAGATCTTCTCCCGGAAAAGCTGAAAATCTTCTCCCGGAAGAGCTAAAGGTTTTCTAACAGAAGAGCTGAAGGTCTTCTCCTAAAAGAGCTGAAGGTCTTTCCCTAGAAAATGTTTCTCAGAGAAGATGAGAAGGTCTTCTCCTAGAAGAGCTGAAGGTCTTCTCCTAGAAGAGCAGAAGGTCTTCTCCTAGAAGAGCTGAAGGTCTTCTCCTAGAAGAGGAGCTGCAGATCTTCTCCTAGAAGAGGAGCTGAAGATCTTCTCCTAAAAGATCTGAAGGTCTTTCCCTAGAAAAGTTTCTCAGAGAAGATGAGAAGGTCTTCTCGGAAAAGAGCTGAAGGTCTCAGAGGAGACGAGAGGTTTTTCTCCGAGAAGCTTTAAAGAAGGTCTTCGTACATAAGACCGAAAGGACTTGGCATATAAAAACGAAAGGACTTCGTATAGAAGACCGGAAGGACTTCGTATAGAAGACCGGAAGGACTTCGTATAGAAGACCGGAAGGACTTCTTATAGAAGATCGAAAAGGACTTCGTATAGAAGACCGGAAGGACGTTGTATAGAAGACCGAAAGGACTTTGTATAGAAGACCGGAAGGACTTCGTATAGAAGACCGGAAGGACTTCTTATAGAAGATCGAAAAGGACTTCGTATAGAAGACCGGAAGGACGTTGTATAGAAGACCGAAAGGACTTTGTATAGAAGACCGGAAGGACTTCGTATAGAAGACCGAAAAGACTTCGTATAGAAGAACGGAAGGACTTCGTATAGAAGACCGGAAGGACTTCTTATAGAAGATCGAAAAGGACTTCGTATAGAAGACCGGAAGGACGTTGTATAGAAGACCGAAAGGACTTTGTATAGAAGACCGGAAGGACATTGCATAGAAGACCGGAAGGACTTCGTATAGAAGACCGGAAGGACTTTGTATAGAAGACCGGAAGGACTTCGTATAGAAGACCGGAAGGACTTCGTATAGAAGACCGGAAGGACTTCGTATAGAAGACCGGAAGGACTTCGTATAGAAGACCGGAAGGACTTTGTATAAAAGACCGGAAGGACTTCGTATAGAAGACCGAAAAGACTTCGTATAGAAGAACGGAAGGACTTCGTATAGAAGACCGGAAGGACTTCGTATAGAAGACCGGAAGGACTTCTTATAGAAGATCGATAAGGACTTCGTATAGAAGACCGGAAGGACGTTGTATAGAAGACCGAAAGGACTTTGTATAGAAGACCGGAAGGACATTGCATAGAAGACCGGAAGGACTTCGTATAGAAGACCGGAAGGACTTTGTATAGAAGACCGGAAGGACTTCGTATAGAAGACCGGAAGGACTTCGTATAGAAGACCGGAAGGACTTCGTATAGAAGACCGGAAGGACTACGTATAGAAGGCCGGAAGGACTTCGTATAGAAGGCCGGAAGGACTTCGTATAGAAGGCCGGAAAGACTTCGTATAGAAGGCCGGAAAGACTTCGTATAGAATACCGAAAAACCTTTTTTCAAAAGACGACCCCATGCTCTGGCAATTGTGATGCTTTAATAGATCTAGCTGATGTTACCATTTGCCTAAAGAGCAACTCACTGGTATTTAACTTTCCTGAATTTCTCAGAAAATTTTCTTGAAAAACTGAAAATGTAACCGAATAAACTGCAGCCAATTCACGTAGATTGAATGGCGAAGTTTTCCGCCTGGCCAACAACAAATCATTCATATTGCCCATATGCATGCATCTTGTTTTCGCATTGCTTCCAATCATTTCCTCTGAATTGCTTTTTTGAAATATTCTCCACTCTTCTCCCATTTCCAGGTTATCAAACGTCAACAAATCCATATTTTGGTGCTACCATTGGCCGTGTGTGTAACCGTGTCGGCCATGGCCGTTTCCCATTGAATGGTCAAGAGATACAGGTTTCTCGTAACATGAACAACAAACACCAATTGCACGGCGGCTTTATTGGCTTCGACAAAGTCCACTGGCAAGTGGTGGCCCAGCATCAAGACGGTGTAACACTTCAGCATTGTTCACCGGATGGCCATGAAGGATATCCGGGCGAAGTAACCGCAACAGTCAAAATCTCATTGACCGAGGACAATTGTCTGCATCTGCTGATGCGGGCAAAGACGACCAAAACAACGGCTGTCAATATGACAAATCATTGCTATTTCAATTTGGCCGGACATGTAAGTACAAATCGATGGATGGATGCTTGGATGGCATTCGCATTACGTTTTCAGATTAAGGCATATTTTTTCCGGCTCCCAGAAAATGACATGCAAAGGACAGTGAAGGAATGAAAGGATGCTTAGCTGGCTGGCTGACTGCCTGCCTGCCTGCTTGGCCATTGAGCACATATGTTAGAATCTCTCTCTCTGTCCTGCAATAGTTTTGCCATGATTGAGTTGAGGATTAGATTGCAACGGAACACGATAAAAATCTGTGCAAATAGGAAATGGCAGGGAATTCAAATGAAATTGAAATTGTCGGAAGTAGATGTTAGGATGTTATCGCAAAAAGGGCAAAACCTGTACACCTGTCGGCCGAATACAGAATATGTCGAAGAATTTTTCCGCATAAGGTGGTATGGGAACAAAAAAACAACAACAGCATTCTCCATGAGACTAAGATTTATGACCGGCATGTCACCAGCAATCCGAACATGTTCGAACCCAGTGCACTTAGGTGGAAGAAATGTAGCTCTCCTTGGAAAGGCACATCATGGCATGGTGTAGATCGTTGAAATTGAAAATGTCAGTTTTATAACGCCATAGGAATTTATTCAAATTGTATTAAGACATTTTGAATCAGATACAGTTTTCTTGATGCTCATTCAATGATATGTTTATGGCATGGGAAGAGAAGAGAAGAAAAGGGAACAACAAAATTGGTATATATTTGGATATTTTGGAAGATCGAACATGGGAAAGCATCTAGAGTCGTATTAAACTGAGAATCCATGACAATGACAACTTGGGAGGATCATGTTTGGGTATCCCAATAATTCTATATCCCATCCACTTTTGCATACTGGAATTAATGGCAATATCTGCTAAGATATGGATCTCTTATAGCATGAAGCACCAATAGAGCATCAACCCGAGATGTATTTTTATACCCTCCACCATGGAGGAGTATGGAGGGTATATTAAGTATAGAGGGTATATTAAGTTTGTCATTCCGTTTGTAACACCTCGATATATACATTTTAGACCCAACAAAGTATACATATTCTTGATCAGCATAAAATTCTATGTCGAACGAATTGAGATACAAGGCTAAAATTTTGTTTATTTATTATTTTTACAGTAGGCAGGTTAAATTCGTAAATGGGCCATGTAGGTCCACGTTTTCATATAGCCCCCATATAACGGTACCTCCCGATATTCGGTATTTCGATGATTTTAGCGACAATATTTACCGGAATAGCGACAATATTTACCCATATAACGGTATCTCCCGATATTGTCGTTCGGATTTTATTATTTGGTATTTTGATGATTTTAGCGACATTATTAATCGGAATTGTTCAAAATTTGGTATTTGAAGTTCGTAATGGATACTACAGCCTATGACAGAAAATTGTACGTTCAGGTCCACGTCTTCCTATAGTCCCCATATAACGACACCTTCCGATATTCGGTATTTTGATGATTTTAGCGACATTATTCACCAGAATTGTTTCATATTTGCTATTCGAATTTCGTTATGGATACTACAGCCTATGATAGAAATTTGTCTGTCTTCGTGTAGCCCCTATATAATGGTACCTCACGATATTCGGTATATAGGTGATTTTAGCTAAATTATTCACTGTTTTTTTTAAAAAAGTTTCGCATTTGAATATCGTAATGGCTTATAACAAAATTTGCCTAAGCAGGTCCACGTCGTCATATAGACCGTAATATAACGGCTACATTGGGTATTTCTAGATTTTAACAGAATTTTTAACGGATTTCATATCATTTTATTTTATTTATTTATTTCTTTTTTTTTGAAAATTGCCAAATTCGTTGCAAATGGTGGAGGGTATTCAAAGAACGGCCCGGCCGAACTTACAGCCTTAGTTAGTTGTTGTTGTTTTTTTTTGTCATTTCGATTGCTATATTTTGGGCATTTTGATGAGATTCCGCACATTTTTCGTCAGGCCCAACCTAAGAGCTTCATTACCGGTTTGAAGATAATTTTAGAATAAAATTTTTTTTTTTTTTTTGATTTTTTTTGGAAATCCCCAAAATAGCTCTAAAAGCAGTCAAAATGTTTTCTCTGTGTAATTATTAGAAAATAAGCAATGATATTCTTAAAATTCATATGTTAGTAACTAAAATCCTGTTTAAAAAAAATTAACCCCATAAATTAACCAAACATTTGGCCAATTTCATGTTATTCTCAATTAAACGGAAATCTAAACGATTAATCAACCCCTAAATCTAAATGTAGAATTAGAATTGTATCCCTTCCCTCATTATTAATGATATTAAATATGAATGGAATATGCGAAATAAATCCTTTTATGACATCACTGTGACATAATTTAATTAATGATGACAATGCCCTTAGAAATTTTTAATCCCCTAATAAAATCAATGGCATTTCAATGTAGTTAAAGAAACAGTGAGAAATAAAAATGAAAGTTTGAGTTGTAGATTCCATGAAAAATTATAAATAATGGGTAAATTTAAATTATAGATTGAATAATTTAAGGAAAAAAACAAATTAGTAGTTTGCATTGTGTCTAGTAATATATACGATTATAAAGATGATCTCCGAAAAATTCTTTAAAAATCCACGATTATGAAGCTGAAGATGGTCTTCGAAAAATTCTTTAAAAATCCACGATTATGAAGCTGAAGATGGTCTTCGAAAAATTCTTTAAAAATCCACGATTCTGAAGCTGAAGATGGTCTTCGAAAAATTCTTTAAAAATTCACGATTATGAAGCTGAAGATGGTCTTCGAAAAATTCTTTAAAAATCCACGATTATGAAGCTGAAGATGGTCTTCGAAAAATTCTTTAAAAATCCACGATTATGAAACTGAAGATGGTCTTCGAAAAATTCTTTAAAAATCTACGATTATGAAGCTGAAGATGTTATTTGAAAAATTCTTGAAAAATCCACGATTATGAAGCTGAAAAATTCTTCAAAAGTTGACTATTATGAAGATGGTCTTTGAAAAATTCTTTAAAAATCCACGATTATGAAGCTGAAGATGGTCTTTGAAAAATTCTTTAAAAATCCACGATTATGAAGCTGAGGATTGTCTTAAAAAATTCAAAAATAATAAAGCTGAAAGTGGCTTTTTTAAAAAACTACGACTTTGAAGCAGAGAACGGTGCTTGAGAAATTAAAGATTATGATCCATAAGAAATATTTAAAATTCTCGATTTTAGAACGTTCTATGGTCATTGAAATACTTTTACAAGGTATTTTCAAAATAAACAAGTAAAAATCAGTAAGTTCGGCCGGGCCGAATTTTTAATACACTCCACCATTTGGAATGAATTTGGAAATTTTCAAAAAAATAAAATTCGTTAAAAAATCTGTTAAAATTTTAAAAATACCGAATATAGCCGTTATATTGTGGTCACTACGAAGGCATGGACCTGCAAAGGCAACTTTTGTCATAAGCCATTACAATATTTAAAAACAAAAAAATCCGGAGAATAATGTGGCTAAAATAATCAAAATACGGAATATTGATAGGTACCGTTATATCGGGGCTATACGAAGACCTGGACTTGCATAGAAAATTTTTAGCCACAAGCTGTTGTACCCATTATGAATTCTAGATACGAATTTTTAATCAAATCCGGTGAATAATGTCCGATTCGATTTCGTGAACCAATATAGACATTTCCCTTCCATTGGGTAAAGAACTAAGAAGGAACTCCTTTTTTGGATTTTGAAATATTTGGTTACAATCATCAAAATACCGAATATCGTCGGGTACCGTTGTATGGGGCTATACGATATCGTGGAGCGATGTTGCCCATATTCGAACTTGACCTGCCTGCAGACAAAAGACTGCTCTGTGCAAAATGTTAGCTTCCCATCTTTGACTTGATGTGATTACAACAGACGGATGGATGGACATGGCTAAATCGTCTTGGAATTTTACACTGATCAAGAATATCTATACTTATGTCTAAAATTATTACGTATTTTTAATATACCCTTCATACTACATATGCTGGAGGATATAAAAATTTAAAATTATTTAAAGCAGATTATTAAAATATAAATTTAGTTAAAAAATAACTTTCTATTTGTGGAAAATGTTGTCTTATGGCGTATAAATGCATCGACTCTGCCCATTCGTAAGGGCATTCCTTTTAGAGCTTCAAATACATATATATTGTTAACCAGTTTATTGAGGATCCCAAGTAGGACACGTATAGATGCTTGTATTACTTCTACTGAAAGAAACATGAAATAAGATACACCATAAGAGACAGAAACATATTTTTTTCTGATAAAAATATTGGATTTATTTTTAAAGGGTTAAATATTTCATCACTCAAATCACCCATTCACAACAAAAAGTTATTACGAATTGAAATGCTTCACAAAGAAACAAAGCCCAGACAAGCAACTACGTCACCATCTTTCACTGTCCTCACAACCGCAATTGTGGCAAAAGACACGTGTCTAACAACAAAAAAGAAGTAATACCCACGTAAATCAATACCGCAACATAATCTGGAGTCATTAATTGGCGACAAAATGAGTGTTACAAAAATGACACCTGTCAAATAAAAACAGATTCTACTCCTTCCTTATTATGAAATTTGAAATACAAAGTTGGAGATGCGGCGAGCAAAAAACAAAAACACAAGAGATAATTTAATTGAATTTTATGTCTTTGCAGGCAGCTGGGAAGCAGGCCATCTATGGGCATGAAGTAATGATTAATGCCGATAAAATTACCGAAACGGATGGTGATTCAATACCCACTGGTAATTTTACCCCAGTCGAGGGAACTGTCTACGATCTGAGGAAGATGAAGAATATGGGTGAGGGTATTAAGAGTCTATTGCCCAGCCCCATCAGTGGATACGATGACAACTATTGTGCCGACGGAAATTACGATGGAAATCGTATTAATGTTATTGCCAAGTGAGTTGGAAATTGAAATTACATATTTTGGATATAATTTTCATTTCTTAAATATTTAAATTTTAATTTCAAATATTCATTGAAAAATATCAAAAATAATTCATTTTAAGTTCATTTTAAAATGACTTTAAATTTTCTGAATTCGAATTGATTCCGATATTATCATTAAAATAATATTTTTTATTTTACATATATATTGCAATTGTTCTTAATTATAATTTCCAATATTTCTCCTTAATATTTATGTTATATTTGCCGCAGAGCCCTTTATCCGCCCAATGGTAGATGGCTTGAAATTGCCAGCAATCAGCCAGGAGTTCAATTCTATACTTCGAATGGCATGCCGGATACCGAAAAGGGAGAGGTAAGTTCATTCGAATTTCAATATTTTATTATTTTACATTCAATGGAAAAAACAAACCTCTGTATTCAACTTAAATGCATTAAGAATGTATATTTTACATGAGTTCTACGTTATCGTCATCCATTATAAAAAAAAAAAACATTTCAGTTTCATTGAAAAATGGCGCACTGAAATCCTTGAATTTGAAAAAGAAAAACTTTTTTCTTGCAAAAAAACCAAGCATCAGAATAACAACTGCAGATGCAGTGCATTCATTCTTATTTATCGCATATGCGGAAAACTCCAATCAAATGAAATTAATTAAAAATCTATAATCTGCAAAGGTATGCAATGTTTTTGGTATGGTAAAAAGATACATTGGGAGGGAGGAGAAAAATACAATAACAAAATCTAGAAGAAAAGACGTTAAATTCAGTCACATCGAATTTAAGATGCCCCTACATGTTGAACATCTTTCCACAGAAATTCATGATTATAAAACTGAAGATGGTCCCTGAAGTAATCTTCAAAAATCCACACATATGAGGCTAAAATAGTCTTTAAAAAAATCTTGAAAAATCCCCAATAATAAGGGTAAAGATGGTATTTGAAAAAAATCTTTAAAAATTCAGAATAAGAGGCTTTAGATGGTCTTTGAAAAAATCTTTAAAAATCCACAATTTGGAAGCTGAAGATGGTTTTTAAAAATCCACGATTATGAATTTGATAAAGAGCCACGATTAAAAAGCTGAAGATGGTCTTTGAAAATACACGATTACAAAGCTGAAGATGGTGTTTGAGAAATTCTTTAAAAACCTACGATTATTTAGCCAAATATGGTTGTTTAAAAATTATTTAAATACCCACGTTTATGAAGCTGAAGATGGCCCTTAAACATATCCTGTTATAAAGCTGAAGATAGTCTTTGAAAAATCCACAATTATTTAGCTGAAGATGATCCTTAACAAATTCTTTTAAAATCCACCAAGATAGTAGTTTCAAAAATCTTTAAAAATCCACCATATCCATTCTAGATGAATCTGAAATTCTTTAAATATCCTTCAAAAACCGCGATTATAAAGCTGACAATGGTCTTTGAAAAATTCATTAAAAAATCGACGCTTATGAAGCTGAAAATGATCTTTGAGAAATTCTTTAAAAATCGCCAAAGATAGTCTTTGAAATATTAAAAAATTTCTTTGAAATATTTTTTTAAAACTCCACGAAGATACAGGGTGAGTAAAAAACTGCAACTTACTTAAGAATGCTGTCATTTCCACGCCACTGGCCCGACAGCAGTTAAAATTATTCCAGTGACAGCTCATTATATTGTTCATTAGTGTATAAAACCATTTTGGTGAGAATTTTCCAGAAAAATAAGTTATTCGTGATGGAATTCAAGCATGATAGTGTGATTCTAAATGTAAAGCCAAATATAGTTCGTTAGAAACCTCCAGCATTTAAATGTGATAAATCGTTTGTGTCTCGTACCATCGCTCGTTACCATGATACTGGTAGCGTAGCCCAACGTCAAGGAAGTGGACGGAAGAAAACAGCAACATCAGCAGAAATGGTTCGAAAAGTAAAAAAGCGACTAGATCGAAACCCGCGTCGCAGTGGCCGAAAAATGGCTCGTGAGCTGAAAATATCGCAATATTCCATTCGGCAAATATTGAAAAATGTGCTCGGGGTTAAGCCATTGAAATTCCAAAAAGTGCAAGAACTTACACCGCTACAGAAAGAAAATAGACTCAAAAGAGGCAAAGAGCTGCTTCGCTTGGCCCAAGGAGGTGAACTGCCGACTTTGGTTTTCTCCGATGAGAAAACATTCGTTGTTCAGCAGTTTGTAAACAAACAAAATGATCGTGTTTACTTGCCAAAGAGGTCAGCTAAAAATGTGCACCTTCGGTTGGCCACCAGAACTCAAGCGCCAGCCATGGTGATGGTGTGAGCCGCCATAACAGCCGATGGTCGCTCTCCCCTCGTATTATTCGACCGTGGCATAAGAATAAATGCCAAATATTATCACGAAAATATTCTGGAGGGTGTGTTAAAGCCTTGGGCACGCAAACATTTTGGCCGCAGACCTTGGACATTCCAACAGGACTCAGCACCATCGCACTCAGCACGCGCCACCCAAGAATGGTTACAAAATGAGGTTCCTCGTTTCATTTCCAACGCACAAAGGCCATCAAAATTTTCAAATATCAATCCATTGGACTATTGTGACTGGAGGCCGTTTGAAGGCCATAATTCGTGCCAAAAGGTGACCAATTCGAGCAAATCTAAACTTATTCTATAACTTGATGCTATTTCCGACATTTTTTGCTTTCATTCAATAAAATTAAAAAAAAATAAGATTATAGCGTTTGATTTTTTACAGTTTTATATCTCACCCTGTATTCCTTAAAATTTTCTTAAAAAATCCTTGGAGATAGTTTTCGAAAATTTATTTAAAAATCCACGTTTATGAAGTTGAAGATGGTCTTTGAAAAATTCTTAAAAATTCTTAAGAAGCTGAAAATGGGCTTTGAAAACTTCTTTAAAAATTCACGAAGATGGTCTTTCAAAAATTCTTAAAAATCCTCGGTTAAGAAGCATAAAATGAGCTTTGAAAATATCTGTAAAAGTTCACGAAGACTAACTTCTCTAAAAACCCACGAAGATGGTCTTTAAATTTTTTTAAATCCACGAAATTTGTCTTTGAGAAATTATATAAAAACTCACGAAGATGGTCTTTAAAAAATTCTTAAAAAATCCACGATTTGAAGCATAATCTACGATTATAAAGCTGAATATGCTGTTTAAAAACTCTCTAAAAATCTACGATTATAAAGCTGAATATGCTCTTTGAAAAACTCTTTAAAAATTCACGATTATAAAGCTTAATATGGTCTTTAAAAATTCTTTAAAAATCGAAGAAGATAGTATTTGAGAAATGCTTTAAAAATCCACGAATATGGTTTTTGAAAAAATCTCTAAAAGCCGCGAAGAAGGTCTTTGAAAAATTTTTCAAAAATCCACGAAGATTGTCTTTGAAAAATTCTTTGAAAATTCGCGAAGATGGTCTTTGAAAAATTGTTCAAAATTCCATGATGATGACCTTTGAAAAATTCTTTAAAAATCCACGAAGATAGCCTTTGAGAAATTAAAAAAAAAAACATGAAGTTGGTCTTTGAGAAATTCCTTAAAAATCCGCGACGATGGTCTTTAAAAAATTCTTTAAAATTCACGATTATAAATTTGAATATGGTCTTTTTAAAAATTCTTTAAAAATCCACGAAGATGGTCTTTACAAAATTCTTTAAAAAATCACGAAGATGGTCTTTGAGAAATTCTTTAAAAATTCAGGAATATAAGCTTTGAGAAACTCTTAAAAAATCCACAAAGATGATCTGAAATTGAAATTATTTTCAAACCCAAGATTATGAATTTGAATATGGTCTTTGAAAAAATTCTTTAAAAATCCACAGTTCAATGGACTTTGAAATATTATTTATAAAACACCGATTATGAAGCTGAAGATGGTCTTTGAAAAATTTCCATGAAAATTCTTATAAAATCTACGGTTAGGAAGATGAAAATGGGCTTTGAAAAATTCTTTAAAAATCCACGAAGATGTCTTTGAAAAAATATTAATAGTCCTCGGTTAAGAAGATTAAATCTTTAAAAATCCATCTTCGTGGATTTTGAAAAAATCTTAAAAATCCTCGGTTGAAAAGCTTAAAACTTTAAAAATCCACGAATGTGGTCTTTAAAAATCCATGAAGATGGCCTTTAAGAAATTCTTTAAAAATTCACGGTTAAGAAGCTGAAAATAGGCTTTGGAAAATTCTTTAAAAATCTACGATTATGAAGCGACGATTTATGGACCAAATGCTATTCTTTAGATACTTCCTAAATCCAAGTTATTGTAGCCTCTAGCCAAAACTCAAATCCAACATACCCTCTCGCTCGAGTATAGAGAGCACCATGCTACCGTTAAGAACAATGCTTTTAGCATTTCTCTGCTAAAAGTTCATAAAAGTGCAATTTATTGACCAATGATGCCTGAATTAGTGTTAACTTTTGCAATGCGTTTGCTAGGCGTGTGTTTGTTGTTGTTGTTGTTGATGTTCTTTTCCATTTTGCTTTTGTCCATTTTTGAGTGAGTACTACTGATGCCCTTTATTGCAGTTTATTTTCCTTCTGGTATGGTATGAATCCCTTTTTTCGCATTTGGCTTAATTAAAAAGTTCAACTGTTTTAACCAACAACAAGAGCAACAGCATCAGCATCAACATCACAACACATCATCAGTGGCGAGCTATGTGTTTGGCCGCAATGGAGCTATCAAAATACCCATACAACCCGACTCCATCCGTTCGACCACACACCACAGAATTCTCAGCGTTTTTCTAGATGATTACTTTGAGAAACTACCATAAATGTTTTTATGCATGCTTAAAATAAGTTTTGAAAAATGTTTTGTTTTGTTTTTTTTTCTCTCACACAGTTTTGTTCGATTTTTTTCCTCTCTCTCTCTGAGTTTTGTTTATTTTTTGTTCGTTTGCTGGATGTTTGTTCATTCGTTGAATTCTTCTTCTTCAGCTCCTGCTGTCGGTGTTGTTGCTCTTGTTGTTGTTGCTCTTGTTGTTGTTGCTGTTGTTTTATTGACTGTTTTACAACCGAAACAGCTTCAACTACCAATAATGGCAAGTACAGAGAGTTAAAAGCCAATTTTATATCCATGCAGCCATACAAATAAACAAACAAACACAACACAGCAAGAACAAACAAGCCAACAAACAAAGGTAACCACCCCACCCTATGTAATTTGCCGTAGTCTTTATTATATGATTGTGGCTTATAGCCGAATAATTTACAGTGGTGTGGAATAAGTGGATTTTTTATTATTTCTTGAGGATCATCTCAGGTACACAGTCTAGGATTTTTTTTTTGAAAGTTTTTAAAGATATTCTTTAGTTTCTTAATTGTTTTAACACCATTTGTCAAATAATCGCGGATTTTGAAAGATTGTC